TAAGAGACAAGAGACAAGTTTGTCGAGGAATTGGCTTCACTTGTCTCTTTGACGAGTTCAAAGCTTGGCGTGGCGAATGGTATAACTCACTTATGATGCCAACTATGATGCCGGCGAAACATTTGAGAATGTACCAAGTCCACTATTTGATGCTGGGAATCATGATAACTACTATGGCAGACGACTTCGGACTAGGTGCGTTCTATTAAGTCGCCCTGACAACAAGACCACGTTGCGACAACGAGGTCAACCCACTTCAACACTATAAAGTTAATGAAGACAGAAGGCCACACCATCTTGGTATTCATTTCTACGAGTATGAGCCATAGATTATTGTCTTCCTCATTCTTTTTTCCTGCCATTTTGTGTTACTTTATTAGCTTGATTCCTTTTCACATTAAAAGCTGACTTCCGCAAGAAGAAAAGAATGCATGAAGATCAACATACCAATTTAAACGCATACTATTCTTGATACTATCCTTCCAACCGGGTTGATAAATTGTTCTTATATATTTATTACTGCATTTAAATATTTGCTTAGAACGGAGGTTACTTTGGGACGAAGGTGGAGATAAATCTAATTCTGGTACTATCTCATTAAAAATGACCACATAACTGGCTTAGTTACCCCTTGTTTGCTTACATGAGGAGGCCACTATGCCCTGACGACAAGATCAAGTTGCGACAACGAGGTCAACCCACTTCTATAAATCGAAAGGAGACCTCGATCATACTAGAAGCCACAACATCTTGGTCTTCCTATCTTTATAGTGTTGAAGTGGGTTGACCTCGTTGTCGCAACTTGATCTTGTTTTCAGTGTAACCGTTTCCAGCAGAACGGTTGTCTCTTTGACGAGTTCGTGGCTTGGTGCGGAGAATGGCAAAGCTCACTGATGCTTTAGGCAGAACTATCCATCCGGCCAAGTTGAAAAGACGAGGTAAAAACAACGCTAAAGAGCTAAAGGCGACTGAGACCAAACTTAGGCCATACTCTCTTGCTCCTAATTCTTGCACTACTTTTAAGTATTAATAAGTTTCAAGACTATCAACAGATCTTAAAAATGAATTTAGTCAGCCTAGATCGCTTGAGGTGACCTAAGGACTGATGATCAGATTTTCACACAATCCTACTAGTAGGCTTCAGTACGCCATTGGATTTTACTTACAGGATGGACTGCTGTTTCAACCTCGTGTCATAGTCTCATCACCCCGAACCGGATTCGAGCCCGTGTCATGAATATGATGGCGACGTAACCACTACACGTCATAGTAGCAGATGCCAGTGGGTGATAGGGCAGATCAGACTTCTTAATAAATCACATTTTCTAGTGGGATTGTCAATGAGGTAAACATGAATTTTCAATCTCAGTTAACGACGCCACTTATTTTCAGCATAAGTAGATTTTAAGATATTCAGTACTTTTGGGCTAATTTCTGGATTAGCGAAAATTACTAACGCTGAAAATAAGTAGTATCGTCAACTACAATGACAAATACATATTTCACTTTTGATTTAATTTGAGTGATGCCTGACTTGCCTCTCTCTTAACCCTTCTCTGCTCCGTAACCCACTGTCTCCCGTGGCTGAGCAGCGTCTAAACTACAGTCGAAACGTAAGGGAGGCAACGCTGGATGAAATTCACTATCCTCCTGAGGCTTACTCAAATATCAATGCTTAATTCACTTAAATTGACTAAGTTATCATTAATTGTTTTTATGATTTTTATTTCGTGTTAAGGTGCCTGATGAAGATGAGACCAGAAGATGACGACTGATTCCCGTCTTCTCGATCCGGTCAAAGTGAGCGACAAAATAAAATAAAACGACTGCAAAAGCATGGAAATTCCTGGTGAGCTCACTCGTGGAAACTCTTCATCAGGCACGTCCTATATTAATTTGTAATTTACCCTCGCGAACTAGCAGGCCGCTGAGCAACCTTTTCATATAAAGAATCGAGCAGGCGTACCATTTGTTGCTACATGTTTCTGGCCAAGATAGAACAAGAATATGCTTTTCTACTCAAAACTTGTTTATTTTTGATGAGCTAATGTGTTGGGAAACCAGAATCAGTGTAATTCATTCGACTGGTTCAATTATTCTCTTAAGCTTATCGAGAGGGATCAGCTCAACTGTGAGGGGCGCAAAAGATATTACAAATTCTCGTTTTCCCGAGTCCTGAAAATCGAGCTTCTTCACAATTAACCACCTGTGGTGTGAGATTAACAAGGTTGGCCGATGTACGAGTGGCTTGATTACAATTGAATGGAGCCACCAGTCCAGAAAATATGATATCCAGCGCTGTTCATTTTTAGTACTTAAAATTGGCACAACCTCGGATTAGTCGGCACTAAAGGAATTCTATGCCTGTTATGCGTTTACCAGATGATCTAATGAATCTATTTTGATGCGCCCTCAGACAAATTTTCTAACCCTATAATGTGTTGTCCGGGTCTTCAACGTTCTGCCGACTACCACCTAAACTGTCAAGCATGCGGAAAGCCTACAACATACAGACTTTTGTCTTAATGCGAGCTGGGCAAGTGAACAAGTAACGAGGGGGTTGCGCCATGGGATGCTGAAAATGCAGCCTTTGCTAAAACTGGTACCGGAAAGGAGAGGCAATGGTGTAAGGCCGGTGAGACATGAAGTCGAGACGGTAGACAGGAAGGTGAGAGAATGGCAGACAGATATCATTCATCGGTTCTGGGCCAAGACTGGCCGCTGTACCTCGTTAATTCTCACATTTAACCCTATTTACTTGTGTCTTTTTTACTTGTTTACAAGCCTATCTGTGTGCCAGAGGAGCTTTTGCACATTCAAATCCGGGCAATGTCGGATCGGGAAGTTGGTTCAATTACACGCCTCGGTCGGCAGCACAAGAATATCATGTCTGGGCGCATATTTAAGAGTACCACTACGCATACAGTAATGTGTGTGGAATGGGTGGGTGTGTGGATGCATATGATGAGGGATAGGCCAATTAGATGTACTGATCGAAAATACAGCGCTCCAGTGACCCATCCTGCTAGTTAGCTTTACATTTTCCTAACGAGCTAGCCTCAATGACTGCTCATCAAGACCGGCCCGAATGGGCGAGTCTCCAATCCATCTGTACTACATCCCCCAGGTCAAGGACGCACTTCAAAGGTGACGAAATGGTAGATGAGTCAGTTCTTGTTAGGCTGGACGGCTTCCGAGTGTCTTGAATCTCATCAGACAGTCATCATATTTGGGGAGTTCACACCAGATCCGATTGAAGGACTTTCTTGGCAAGTTGATAGGACTGCGGTTAAAGGAGTCAAATACATATTTTCAAGAGCTGCGGATAGTTTTGCAACATAATTATATGATATAGCTGAGATGTAATCATCCTATTTCGCTTAAAGTGATGAGGGAAATGTTAGTTACATTTTCCCACAATACTATGAGTAGACATAATGTGTCCATTGAATTTCGCATAGCCTGCAGTTTCGACCTCGCCTAGGTCTTATCAATACCCCCAGCAGTACTCGAACCATGACAGTACAGCGTTTCATCTCGGCATGTTAACCAGTACACCAAATTTACACAAGTGCTCTTGGGGCACAGCACAGATGTGCATGTTCTGTAGTGGGGTTGTCGATGAAACAAAGTTGTCTTTGCTGTAACAATAGGCCAAGCTACTTATATTTCATTTATAAGTAGGTTTTTGAGAGTGCCAATAGATCATTTATATGAGGTTTATTCAGCCTAGCATAGTCTCAAAAATCTACTCATAGACGAAAAATAAGTAGCATAGTCGATTGTTATAGCAAATAAAACTTTGATTCATAGACAATCCCACCACAGAACAGGATATGGGAAACTGCCTTGCCTTCATTGAAATGCCCATGGGGCAATGGGGCGTAGTGGTTAATTTGGATAAGAATACTCTTTGAACAGCAGGTTTAAGAGAAATGCAACTGCATAATTTTGGAATATTCACTATCACTCATTAGGATAGCATATCAGACTTTCGGAGAAGCAGGAAGGTTGATTAGAACAGAATATCAAAGACGTTAATTGAAGTGAGGTTTAAGATTGGACGAGATCGTGAAAAATGAGGGGGTATCGTATGTTGTCCCGATGGGCAATATGAAGGATGAGATAAAACACGTTAACATGTCGGAGAGTAACATCGAAATTGAGCTGACCTTCATTTCATGTGCAAGTTTGTGATGAAGAGATTCATAGGTCGATCTCAGGTGAAAACAATGATTGGTTTCATTTGGCCAGAGATCCAAGTTTTCTGTGATGTTCAAACTGACGTATTCCTCAATTAAATCTCCTTCGGTTCCGGTGACCCGCTGTAATCTGAAGGTAGTTGCGATTCTGAGGCTGTTAGTCAGGCGGCTTAACAGAAGCAACGTTTGAGGATGTATCAAGTCCACTGTCAGATGCTGGGAATCATGACAACTCCTATGGCGGACTACTTCGGACTAGGTGCGTTCTACATAGTCGCCCTGACAACAAGACCAAGTTGCAACAATAAGGTCAACCCACTTCTTAACAGAAGAAGGAGGAGGGTGTTTCGCAGAGTGCATTACTCTGAAAGCTATAATAAAGTTATATTGCGTTAAACTATCTGTTGTCTTCTTCATTAAGTGGGAAGAAAATTTAGGTTTCGAGTATTCGCTAGTTTCATAATTGTTCAGATTACTTCAATTTCGAATGAAAGTGTTTGTTGAAGAGATTCAACGGTTGAACCCATCAGAAGACGAAAACAAATTCTTCTTGATCAGCTGTTGATTGGCTTTACTGGAACAGTCTTGTGGACAATGTTTCCAAATTAATCTCCTTCGATTCCGGTAAAAACGTGCTAAGCTTTCGCCCATTGTACAACAGACAGAATCATAATAGGGAAGGTGCCATTCTTATAATCATATTCAAGCTAATGAGTTTTCTTGACTCGTTCGCTTTAATATGGTTGTAATAATGTTACCATCCATACTCTAGTTTGGGACCAGGTTAGATTAGAAATTGCTTTCCAGGCCGGTTAAGCATAGGGAAATTTCAGGATGAGAGCAATTCTTCTGCCTAAAATGCTCATCGATGGTCTCTCATAGCACCTACTCACTAGTTTTGTTGTGTATTATCGTAGTCTATCGCATTCGTATGCATTTTGGCAAGGTCTGCAAGAATGCTCATAGACTGACATAATAAGGGCCATTTAGACATGCCGACTCTTTCTGGTGTACAAAGAATGAAGATGGTATTATTAGGGCAGGCGAATCAAGCAAGGTTTCTACACCCAAATACACCTCCTTCGCAGACCACTATCTGCCAAATGAAGGAATTTCTGCACGCAAGACCTCTATTCTGAAACCACTTATATACCACGACATCTTATCAAAATATAAGTTATTCATAGAAGTTGTTTAACCTCATTTCCACAACTTGGTCCTATTAGCAGGGAGTCCGCAACTCAACTAAAGCCTGCACCATCTTTGCCTTTATACCTATTTATGCTGGAAAAATTCGGAATTTCTAAGCTAGCATGTTCTCTAAACCAACATACATCATTACGTTTTTTTCATAAATGAGTAGGTTTTCGAGACCACCAGTAAATCAGATGTATGTGTTGTGTTCACCCTGTTATGTTTGAGGTGATGAAGGACTGGTAGCTGAAGTTTCCCACAATGATATGAGTAGAGTTGATGTTTTCCAATGAAATTCACATACATTTGCCTTTCAAAAATGTCTTCTCATCCAGGCTGAATTAGACACTCCAAGCGGGAGTCGAATGAATAAATGAAACTCTGGAGAAGCTAAGATAAGACCCTTCAAGAGGTGGTTGAAATTGGTTGATACGTTCCAAGTTGGATCAAGTGAAGTCGGAAAATATTCTGTTTACGGAAAACGCTTAAGGACAAAATTAAACTTTCTTTTTTATAAAAGACTGAATGAGGACAAACAGGTCCCAAAAGCTTGCACTATATATATATATATATATACTTGTGTGTGTGTTTGTGTGTGTGTGTATAAATGAGGTGGATACTAATAATTTTTTTAAAGTATTATCGCATTAGGAGGCTCGAGGCGCTAAAACGTGAAGATATACTCAAGGACTTTTCTCCATATACTCTGGAGATCTGACCCCAAAACAAGTACCTAGACACACCCACACACATTATTGTGCACAAATGCATGATACGGAAGTTTTTTGCCATGGGCGTTTTAGCAAGTAGACTACAAACCATTGAAATATGATAAAATGATTGTCAAAAGCTAGCTTGGAAGTAAAGTGGAGTAAGTTAGCCTTCAGACAGTAGAAATGCTGGGCTTTGCAATAGAAAAGTTTGGTTTATATTGCAGGGACTACTGGTATGAAAGATACGTGAAACAGATGGCCTGGATGTGCTACTGAAATTTCTTTGTAAGGTATCTAAAAATGGATCTGCTATTGCCAGGCAAGGGGGGTTGGTGTTGAAGCCCAAGGATACTTCGAGATGATCAAGGGGAAATAAGTAGTGACATTAGGAATTTGTGCATTAAAGAGATTAGAAAATAAAGAATTTTCCTATTGTCTCAAAGGCTTAACATATTATAAGAAAAGCTACACAATTAAACGTAACGATTACTTATAGAACAATGAAAAATATTACAAACCTCAGTAACTGCTCACTATCTCTATTTCACACAACTGAGCTATTGACTAAATATGATCTGTCCAGAATTGGGTGAGCATCAATATGGGTATCCGGCTCTCAGTTGCCTTTGAGGCAAGTGATGTTTATTCGAGTGTATTTTAGCCATATTTAATAAATGGTGAATAATCAAGCTGAATTAAGTAACACATTTTAGGAAACGCAAGGCTTTCCTCAATAGAACTCGCTATACTCAGGATACACATTTGCACAAATCAGACCACAAAAATGCAATATATTTCATTATAATCTGAAATTTTTATTAACTTTTCCGATTAGGCGTGAAAAAACGAGGTACATGAAAGCCGGCGGATTAAAGCACACTATTTCTACTTTACAATGCGATTCAACTTTCATTTCCAGTTTCCTTATGATGGAAGGCAAAATATGGGTGGTGGTGAAGAGCCGCGTAGTTATTGGAGAAGGAAAGACTGAGAGGAAGATCTGCATTATAGGAATGTATTCATACAGTTTCTGGTGATATTCTAGCGTTGCTGGAATATTCAAAGAGATTCTCATTTAAGGTGTGAAGAAGCAGCATTTGGGTGTTGATACTTGGCATGCCCAGACGTTTCCAGAACTATGTTTTATTTAAAAACAAAATGCAATTCTATCAAAATTAGACTGCCCTTTCTGGATTTAATTCTGCGGCAATTCATTTTTTCGTAAGCAGAAAAACGATCAGTGCCCAAATGATAACTGGTCCATGATGTATCCTGTTTGTTTTCTTTAAACATGATCTTAATCACCCCAGATCCCTTAGATGATTTAATGCTCATGATTTTCCCACAATCCGATGAACGAGCCTCAAGATCCCATAGAAGTTCACTTAGCCTTCCCTCCTAGAAGGCTATTTCATCAAGGATGGACTGTGATTCCGGCTTCAAATAGGCCTCATCAGCACTACTGGCTGGATTCGGTATCGAGACTTGAGCATTTTTACGGTTGTGCCAGTAAGCTAAAAAGTCGTGAGTGCCAGTGGGACACAGGGCAGATGTGGCATTCAAGGCAAGCAAGGCCTATTCCAAATGCCGAAGCTTAATCATTTGGAAAATAACCAACGCCCGCAATTGTAATGGCAAATATATCCCATCAGACATAAATTGCCATGCTTACCAAGCCAGCGGTCTAATGCTAAAAATTACCACGATTAGTATGACAAAGGAGACGGGTTAAGGAACTTTTTTTATAGGTCGCCTTGGCAACACAAACAAGCTCCGAACGTATTCCAACAGATTGACCCGGATAACCGCTTCTGATGGGCCGAATGGAACCTTAGAATTCCGGTATTCGTAAAGCCTGTGATGGCAAGTCTACATCGAGGACGACTGGAGAGAATCTAGAGTTTGCGAATAGTTGCTACCAATTCGTACAAAGCTCCCCCAACTATAGAAAAATTGTCACCTGTACGCATGATAAAGTTGGAATATACAGTACTTGGACCGATCCCGACGATATATTGTTGATAAGGTGATGGTGATATTTCATGTGAGAGGAGAGTCCGATTTGTCATAAAAGGCAAATGAAGATTACATTGAACA